TTTCCCCTTCCCCGTGTATCCGAAATAAGGGATAACGTTTTAGATTGTTAGAAAAAGTATGAAATGGGTCTGAATACAGCGGGAAAGAACAACAAAATAATGAAATCGAAATAAAGATGAAACAACCCGGATATAATCTTCTAGACGCGTAGAACACTTTCCTAAAACGTTATTCCCTCCCCTACCGAGCAAAGGAGAAACCCGAGAATACGTTTAGAGATACAAAGAAAATCAGCAACGATTGATTTGCTCCTCAAACGTTGCCCAAAACAGAAAAACCCGAGAGAGAAGATGAACAGTAAAAGATGGAGAAGAAGTAGCAAGTTTCTTCACCAAAAAGGCTCACAAATCTCTCAAAATCAATTAGATTTCGTGTCCACATTCTCTGACGTTTTTGGTTTTAAAAACACCAGAGACATGATCAAAAGTTGTATCCATTTAGTAGTTTTCATGCGAAGGGCCGCATTAGTTCATATTACAGACATTTAACACGGCCGTGTCGAATCTGACACGACCGTGTTGCACCTAACACGGTCCGTGTTGCATCTAACACGGTCCGTGTCAAATGTCTGAGCAAAACAGTATTTTCTCAGAGAATTGACACGGCTCGTGTTGAATCTAACACGGCTGTGTTGTAATTAACACGCCCGTGTTACATTTGACACGCCCGTGTTGGAACTAACACACCCGTGTTACAGCCCGTGCAGAATTAACACGCCCGTGTTACATGCCCGTGCAGAATTTCTGCACTTAAATTTCACTACTAAACATAAGTATATACTTTACAAAATACATGTATGTACTTTACCAATTCATACTATATCATTTACAAATATAAAACTCCTCCACCATATCCGTAATACATATAAATATGAACCATATGAGAGATTTATTAAATCCATCAAATGCTCCTGTCATGACATGGATCCGCTTCCGGGATTCACCAGGACTTGGATAGCGATTTTGTTTCGGTCTCCCACTTTTTCGTTTCTCTTCCATTATAGGAGGTAAAACCACACAGTTTGCAATATCTGGGTCATCGATGCTCCATTCACAACAATCGGGGACCGAATACACAGTTGTTTCATAAGCGTGATCTTCACGCAGATAATATGGAGAACACAAGTCTGGTATCATATTTGCTTTTCCAACCTTATGAAGTGTTGCGATTGCGTGACTGCATGAGATCTTATCAATATCAAACACTCTACAACTGCACGATCTATCTCCGATTTTGACAAAGTATTTTCTACCTTTTTCACTGGTCACCTCAAACTCTTCTGTAATAGAGTTCAACACAATTACCTCATACGTACACGCCATCTCGTAACGCTCATGTAGCACTTTGTCAACATGCGATGTCAGTTTTTGAGAATCATCGGCATATCTTGCTTCCACTCGATGCCGATCGAACCATTCCACAGTCTTTGAAAGATATATATCAAGCACACCTAGCACCGGAAACCTTTTTGCTTTCTTCAAAACAGAGTTGATTGATTCAGCCCCATTTATAGTCAACAAGTTGTACCTTTCACATTTAAATTTACACATCGCTCATTTCTCAGGATCAAGTTCTTCTTTCTACATATACTCGGCAACTTTGGGATACCTACAAAAATGAAGACTCATGGTCTCAGGGTGACATCATCTAGATTAGCCGATTTGGTACTAATGGACAGAGATCACATGGTACCCTGTGTCATGATCACATAATACCATGTGACCATGGTCCCATGGTACCATTTCAACATGGTCACATGGTACCATATGCCATGGTCACATGGTACCCGGTTCCATGGTCACATGTTTCTGATTTGTCGATTCTTTATAATGGTTATAAAGTTCATACCTATTCTTCTGATCAATAAATCGCTCTTCAAACTCGTGCAACGTATACGCTTCTGCGCATTTGAAAAACCTTTCTGCGACAGTTTCACCTCTTGAACTCTTTCTTCTCATGTCAATCAGATATCACAACGACATAGGCCCATCTAGGATTGCATCTATTAATATTGGTGGTGGTCACCGTCTTGTGCGGTTGCAACAACTAACGTACCCTTGTACTGGCCTGTAAGAAAGGTTGCATCAATAGCAACCACTTTACGCATGTAATTCCATCCTTTGACCGTTGCACCCAATGCAATGAAGAGGTATTTGAAGCTTCTGCCATCCGTGTCTAACTCAAGACTTATAATTGTCCTAAGATTTCTCTTCTGCAACATGTACAACCATCCAGGAAGCTTCCTAAAATGCTCTGCAGGATCACCTCGAATCTCACTTTCAGCTTTGTGCTTCCCTCGTAACGCCGTCAAATATGTTACGGTTGTGTCATACTTTGCTTTTACACGGTCTATTATTTCATGTGCAGAAGGAGTGCTATCATGTTTACCGGGAAATTCATCCTTCAAATCATCTCTAACCAATTTTTTTGTGCCTCTCATACTTTTGCTTGATTCGGAAACGGGTTTGCAATTGTGAATGGGGATTGTGTTTTCTTACACTCCAATGCTTCGAGTTTAAGATCAATGTCGTATGCAACCTCCAATTACAGCCGGATCCGGCAAATTGGCATCTTATTTCCCATAACTTCTTATCAGACCTCATCGTAGTATACTTAAAATGAGCCATAGCTGCACCCTTTCGAACATATTCTTGCGCTACTTCCTTATCGTCAAACTCATGACCAACTCTTATATTTAATCCATCACTGAAAGTGAATACAGAATCAGAAAACAAAGAGTCATCCACAATCAAAAGCTCCAAATCATCACCATCACCATCACCATCATCATCATCATCATCATCATCATCATAACCAACATACTCTTTCACTGTAACTTCTCTAAGTCCACTTGAATGTTCACTATCAGAAAGATGTATAACTTCTGGCACATTATTACTCCCAACTTTATTCTTAAAATTTGGGCTCAACATAAAACAATCGTCATAGTCTACAACACCTTGTTTCCCATTTCCTCCAACAACACTACTATCAACAGGAATTATAGCCTCTTCTTCAACGTTTTCTTCAGCATCAATTTTCATACGTAACTCTCCTATCTCCACATAAAGCATACCTCGCAATCCATTTATTTTATCCAACAAATAAATATGAACGTGCTTGTCATTCCATACGTAAGTCGGCTTTCTGTTTTCCTTGACATTTGGCAAATAACTTAACCTGATCTCCGTTTTATCTTTCTCCACCTTCATCTCAACACATAACTCTCGAACAAGTTCACTGTAAGTTACCTCACAGAGGGGCAAAAGAACAACAATCTTTGATTTTCCATGAACTTTTCTTCCCATTCATAGTCTCCATTTTTATTCAATATCCACCTACCATCATACAGAAAGTATACAATTGTCGATCTCTCATCTTGTCCGTCCATCGTAGCTGTAGAAAGCACAAATACAAAATGCAGATCAATTCAACTATTCTGGACTATGTGACCATGTGACCATGTGAATATAATACCATGTGACCATGTGACCATGTGACCATTATTACCATTCTGACTATTCTGGACCAAGTGACCATGTGACACTGTGACCATGTGAATTCCTCACCCTGTAACCATTATTACCAATCCTACTATTATGAATCATGTGATCATGTGACCATGTGGACATGGTACCACGTGACCATGTGGACATGGTATCATGTGACCATGTGAACATAGTCTCATGTGACCATGTTAATATAGTACCATATGACCATGTGAAGATAGTACCATATCATTCTTGAAACCTATGACAACCGTTATTCTAATGAGCCTGACTAATGTCACCATGTCACTTTGTGATCATGTGACCGTGTGACCGTGTGGCCATGTCACCAACTCCTCTCTACTGTGACCCGACATTTGTTTATAGTGATACTCTAGAAACAACATCTCAAACCCAGATCCGAACCGGATCTATGACTATACTATACTATAAAAGATAAAACTTCAAAAACATCAACAATTAGAAGAAAAAAGGTAGAAGAAGCATCACTGTTCAATATAAACACCAACAACCATCAATGTGGATGAAAAAGAATAAGATTTTCACAATTGCTTACCTATTTTCAACTTCTTCGATAATTTCGCACTGATTTTGTTTTGATTTCTAACGATTTTGGAGAAAAAATCGAAAGATTCAGAGGTGAGAGAAAGTGTAGGAGAGAGAGCTCAATGTCGACGAGGGAGAGAGAGGCAGGAGAGAGAAACTGGAAAGAGAGAGGAGAGAGATAACTAAACCCTAATTTTTGGGGAGATTTTTTTATTAAAAAATTAAATACAAAAGGATATTTTAGTTATTACTTATTGGAGAGGGTATATTAGAAGTTGGATTTTTTTTAAGGGAAGAGTATATGTGGCTGTTGATGTAGCACATTAAAGGTATAACGGAAGTTGCCCCGTTTGTAGTTATAACATTGTTTGGTAATATCGTGGGATGAATCGAAGTTATAACGTATTTTTTAATGTGTTTAACAAAAAAAAGTAATGATTTTATGTTTATTTTAAATTTTGGGACTTAAATTAAACTATATTTATAATATATTTCTATCGTTTTACGTTTTCATAATTTAATCATGAAACTATATCATCAATTTATTACTTTTTTAAAACGTATTATTGATCAGAACCGTAGCAATACACGTTTTCTTACAACGCCAAAAATATCGTATAAAAATAGCCTATTATCGAGTGAACGAAATAATTTAGATTGGGCCCTGGACCGCAGTGAGTACGACTTATTTTAATATGGACTCAGTCAGTCTCCGAAATGGGCTAAAAGCCCAATTACACAAACGCACGCCGTGTAGTTTTTGTTTCCATGAATGCAAAACGGCACGACCTTGGTTACCCAAAATTTGAAAAAGAAAAAACATGCAAGATCCATATTTCCCTCCTTAAACATAAAGTACGATTCAATCCAATGGTCTTTCTGCCTATACCATCGAAGCACAGTATTTTTTTTAGAATCAAAAGAAAAAAAAAAGCACAGAAAAAGACATAAGAATCCAAAAACAAGGATCCACACGACACTACATTTGATCATTGTCATCAAGTGATTGAACTCAATCACAATTAAAACATATTATTTTTTATTAATTTAGATCAAACAGAAACGTAGTAAAGAGTGCTAAGAGACGTAGATATGGATCTTGACGGCGAGGGTGAATACGCAAACGAGGGCGAAGTAGAGAAGCGAGTGGACGATGACAGCGGGCGCACTTGTCTGAAAATTACCAAACTCGACGCATCTATTTCGTCCCGGCAGCTGAAACAGAAGTCCCGGCGTTAACAATACAAACAATATTACAGCCACTAACACCGGTCCCCAATCCGACATGATTTTATGTATGTGTTTCCTAGGGTTTTTGTTGCAGTGATGATATTTGGGATGAGGAGGAAGAAAGGTAGGATTTGATTTTATATGGCTAGGAAAAGTGAAACGGGGAATGTTTTGATGATCTGTGAGGTGTGTGGGGTGGAGGGTTGGTCCATGAAGTTACCGTTTGATACGATTCTATACGTATCGGCAAAGTTTTTTTTTCATTTATTTTTTTTATTTTTGTTTCACCTTTTTAGGGTTTCTATGCAATGGGTGTTCACTAAAATTTCAGCTTTTTTTTTTTCTTCATATGCATTTATTGATTGGATTTATAAGATTCTGATCAAGGTTAAATGGAAAAACTAAACTTTAATTATGAATTTCGAAGATTTTATGCAATAGAAAACGATCCAAAATAAATCTATAATAAACTCCAAACGATATAGGATAAAAATAATAATTTGATTCATATCCTTGTGTGTTAGCAAATCTCGTTTTATGAAAAAAAAAATTTAATACTTTTGACGTGAGTTATTTTTTGGTAATTTGGTATCTTGAATCGAAACCTAAATTAATCCTAAAAATCAAAAAAATCTATATGAATAACCTTTTTAAATTCGTATTTTGAATTCTGGACGGGACAAACGTGAAAACGCTCTATGTTCACCAATTGAATTGACCAAGTTTGAGTCTATCGATGAGAGTTAATTAGTGATCAAAGGCTTCAACTATTCCTGCAACAACATGAAAATTTAATATATTAATATACCTTCATTATGTGTATATATTTTTAGCTCTAATTAATAATAATCGATTCTAAATCAGAGTAAATGAGCATCCGAGTTTCGGATATTCCACGAATATAAAAATGCAGTATCTAAAAAACAAGATATTTTTATCCATGTTAGGTTCCAATACACGTGGTGGACCACTCCACAAGTTTGCACCGGAGATAAATCTCACTAACCTAACATATGCTTTAATAATAATCTTCTAAACATTATTGAGGGAAAACCAAATCGGTAGAGAGAGAAAATCCTCCTCCCTCTCTCTACCTTTCCTTTTTCCATTCTCACCAAAAAATCCCTAATCGACTGCATCTTCTTCGTCGATCCCGGCCGGCGCCATCGCTGACCAACCATCACTAGCTCCTGAATGCCTCCTCAGCTTCGGTCCAGCTCAGTTCCGCCCAAATCGACCCAATCAAAATGTCTCCAACCCATTCTCCCTCCACCACCTCCTTCACACCTCCCCCGACCTTTGGCTCGTCCCACTGACGCGGAGGTAAAATCCAGCTCCACCCAAACTCTTTCCCGCAGCTCCTCTCTGCCTTCCTCGATAACTCGAGCAATGGCACCATCATCTTCACTAGGCAAGCGATGGGTGTTGCCCCGCACCATAGCGGATTCCTCTGCTCCGATTCCACAAACGAGCTCAGCAACAGCTGTCATACCATCTTCTCCTTCCCAACCAACGGATGGAGGCCATATAAACCCAGGCTCAACCTGGAGCAAAATCCTGCAATCTTCACTCCGAACTCTGAAGAAGACAGGTAATCCAACAATACTTCATTCGAGTGTTCCCTCCGTCGATATCCCGACTGAATCTCTGACAAACTCAGCAGCCGAGTGGAAGGACTTTCTCCTCGGACAGTTTTACGGAATCCCATCCTCGATTGGTAGAGTTATAGGCTTGGTTAATGCCCTGTGGCCGAGGAAAAAAGCCAGAGTGAAGGACCAAGACCTAGGGAAAGGCACTTTCTTGTTTAAAATGCCGGACGAACCAACAAAAGTTACATGCGCTAGGCCGAAATATATGGTATGTGGGTTCCTGCCCCATGTTCGTGTTGCCATGGACTCCAAACCATAATCCATCCAAACCTCCACTCACGTCGGTGCCGACTTGGGTATCATTTAGCCAGGTTCCGTACCAGTTATTCACAAATGACGGGCTAAGTAGAATTGCTACATGCATTGGAGACCCTCTCTATCTTGATCGTGCAACAGCCAACAAAGAGAATGTAAACGCAGCAGTGAGGATCTATATTGAGGTTAACCTCCAGAAGGTATTACCCAAGGAGATCAATGTCAACCTCCCATCGGGTGAATCGCGCTCTATTCTCGTCAACTACGATTGGCTTCCTCCCAATTGTAGTGTCTGCAGAGAAGTCGATCATACATGATCTCATTTCTACCAAAATCCGGAGGCCAGGCAGCCTGTCAAAGGTCCGAGTGCTCACTCTCGACGTGGTCGACTGGTTGCCAGTAGGTTGGAACGGTCTAATCCACCAACCCTGGAAACTGATCACTCTGACCAGATCAGTAGTAAGCATCAACCTCAGGCTCAACTTGTTCCGGAAGTCTCTCCCACTAGTCAGCCTCAATCTCTTGGCTCGACCCTCCCTGATTCTGTTGATCAATCCATGAAGGAACCAGACCCTATCATCCACCCTATGGACTCTGATGACTCGCTCTGTGATCCTATCTCTGTTTCTGATCCCCATCTGCAGACGGCTATGGCATCTCCACCAGCCCTCCAAGTAGCTCAGATTACTAATACCTCTACCCCCAAGCCAGATTCTCAGCCTCTACCCGCACAATCTAAAGTGAGGAAAAAGGAGAAAGGCAAAGGCAAAGGGAATAGAGGTGGTCGAAAGGCCACGTCGATCGCCTAATTCAACAAGGGACCCATGTTTTTTGTTCGAAACGTAAGAGGTATAAATGCCAGACGGAAACGGGTTTTACTTCGCAAGTGGATTTTGGACAATAACTAGCGGGAGGTATTATCGAGAGTCATATCAGAAAGGAGAATGAAGTTAGGATCCGAACAGCCATTCCCCCGGACTGGCAATTTTATTGCAATCATGAAGATGATAATTCAGGCAGAATATGGATAGTCTGGCACCCCTCGGTGAGTGTTCTGATCTATGAATCATCGGCGCAGGCAGTAACTTGCAGAGTTCAGATGCTAAGGGACACTATAACCTTCACTGCTACAGTGATTTATGGGAAAAATCAGCCGCAAGACAGAATAAACCTCTGGACTACTCTTCGCAACCTTAGTGCTTACCCTCCCCTTGTAAGATCTCCTTGGCTAGTGGTGGGAGATTTTAATCAACCACTCAAGTTGACTGAAAGATCAGATTATCCATCTATCTTCGCTCAAACACAGGGCATGGAAGCAATGGAGCACTCCGTCCGTCCAGTCGGCCAAACACTATAAATAGGGGAGGACCGGCATCCGGAAATTTGCCTTGTAAAGTCCCGTATTAATAGAAAGAAGTTCTTTCATTCCGCATTCCTGGGATATTTGTGAAGCTTGCCCAAGAACAATCAAACTGTTCGTAGCGTGATCGGCTGTTAGGGACTCTCTATCGTCCTCTAGCCGTGAAGCTCTCCCCAACAAAATCCTTGCTAACAAGAAATGATCTGTATGTCGGAGACGGGGCTGACAGAGAGTGCAAGGGGCTATTCTTCACATGGTATAACAACCAAACTTTATCCCCTTTGGCGGTGAAATTAGACAGAGCGTTGGCAAATGTGATGTGGAAAACTGATTTCCCGACCACGTATGCTGAATTTCAACCTTCGGGCTGGTCTGATCATGCGGCGTGTGTGGTGCATTTCCCCCGAACTCTTCCACAGGTGCGCTGACCTTTCAAATACTTCCATCGTGTTGCAACTCACCCCCTGTTTAAGCAGGTTACTGCAGAAAATTGGACAGCGGCTTTTATCACTGGTTCCCGACAATTTAAGTTGTGTAAAGCTCTTAAGTCCTTGAAGCTCCCTTTGAGGAGATTAAACTCAGAGCATTTCAGTAATATTTCGGCCCGCACTGTACGGGAATATCATAAACTCAAGGATCTTCAAAAGCAGGCCTTCTCGGACCCCGGTATAGCCATTGCTGAGGCTGAGAGGAAGCAGAGGAAACTTTGGGTTGAACTTTCAAGGGCTGAGGAAACTTTCTACCTTCAGAAATCCCGAATCAAGTGGTTGCGGGAAGGGGACCGTAACTCTAGCTACTTCCATAAGGTAGCTAAAGCCCGAGTCTCCCGAAACCACATCCACTACCTGATGGACGATCAATGGAATAAACTCTCATCGCCGGATGAGTTGAAATCACATGCTGTGGAATTTTTCTGCTCTTTGATTGGGACAAGGAATCAGTTGGTGCAAGTTCCCTCAGTGAGTGACCTCCAGCATATCCTTACCCCTCAGATTGGCACTTGGAATTCGGACTCTCTCTTACAAATTCCTTCAGCGGAGGAAATAGTTCTGACGTTGCGGAGGATGCCAAATAGAAAGACCCCGGGGCCAGACGGTTTCGGTAAGGAGTTCTACTTGGATGCTTGGGACTCGGTTGGAAGTGACTTGATTGCTGCGGTGCAGGAATTCTTCAGGTCTGGGAAAATGCTAGGACAGATGAATTCAACAGCCATAGTGTTGATTCCGAAAACGCTGACAGCTGACTCCTTAACAGACTACAGGCCAATAAGTCTGTGTAACCTGCCATACAAGATTATTTCGACGATCCTGGCTTCCCGGCTAAAACCTATGCTGCAAGCGATAATATCTCCCAACCAAGCAGCCTTCTTGGAAGGGAGATTGATGATGGATAATATTCTTCTGGCTTCGGAATTGGTTAGAGACTATAACCACAATATTCAGCCCTGCAGTGCGATGTTAAAGATAGACATCCGGAAAGCCTTTGACTCACTTCATTGGGAGTTCGTTATTAACATCCTTAAGACGCTACAGTTGCCCCCTAAGTTTATTCGATGGATTGAAATTAAAGTTGCATCACTACAACCAGCTTCTCTATTTCGATTAACGGTGAGCTTACGGGTTTCTTCCGCGGTATGAGAGGATTGCGACAAGGTGACCCTCTATCTCCATATTTTTTCATATTAGCAGTGGACATTTATTCGAGAATGCTTGATAATGCAGCGAGGGCCAATAGGATTAGACTTCACCAAAAATACAAGGACCCTATGATTACCCACCTTGTATTTGCCGACGATATCATGATATTCACAGAAGCAGACAGTCGCTCTTTGGAGGAAATCAGG